TAAGATCAAATGAATATTGCACCCTTGATTACACACTGAGCCTAGCCGAGCTGAGATTTCTTTTCGACCTTTACTGATTTGTAAAACAGAGGACACGTACAGTTGCCATATTTGGAGAGCAAGTTATAATGGCTCATATACCATGTGGCTAAGACAATCAGAGCTCTTAAGAATTGTATTATCCAATGATTCAGTTTTTAATAAAAGCTATAGCTAAAACAGGAATTAAAACTAAAGTTTACTTTTATATTGGACCTGATGAATCTATTGTTTCATTAAAGTAAATGACAAATCGGTGGCAGCTGCACGGCATTGAATGGAGGATAGAAAATAGGTGCTGGTGTATAAAGGGTTGGGACACAAAATGCAACAAGTCCCAGCGACATGACATAGGGCTAAGCAGCTGCAGGTCACAAATGTAACGTGTTGTTTGGAAAAAATTCACTCTACTGCAAGGACAGATTTTCTTAAATATATTCTATAATTTATTGTACGTCTCACACAATCAAAGTGAATTAGCACTGTGACCTGTCCCTGCAGACCTTAAATGCACTGACTTGTCACCCAGTGTAACTATCCCAGCATCAAATTGTAAAGAAGAGCTAAAAAACAATTACCGCTACTTGGAATCAAACTCAGAATCTTTGAGATCCTAATGGACTGGACCAGAGGCAATTGCTACCACAGAAACCATAATTTTACTGAGAAGAGTTCTATAGATCAAAAATCGATACATCTAAACTGTCTGAAAGATAATTCAAACTCCTTCACAAAATGGTTTGTAATTATTGATCTGTTAAAGCAACTTTGGAGAATATGATTAAAACAGTAGAGACCATAAAGAGCTTCCAAAACATCTTTTTGCAAATATATAATTGCTGGCTCTCTACTGATGTGGTATAGTATAAACTGACATTGCACGCTCATCTCATTCCATGACAATTATAACCATCCACCAAAGGTAATTTTGCACTTGCCAGTGACCAGGGCAACTGGATGAAATGCCACTTAAATAAGCTACGAGTAAAAAATCCGTAAAGTTAATAACATTGTCTACTAATTAAAGATTTTTTGAATGCACTAACAACATGATGAAGGCTGCTCTAGATTTCTTTCATTTTAATTCTCTAAAATTCGCCTATATTGATGATATGATTTTGATTTTTCCATAGGTTAATATTTTTGTTATTTCTAGATGATAAGAAGAACTGTCAAGACTTTTAATTAACAATTGGAAACATGGTGCATTATTCCAGTACAGAATTTGGAGCTTACGTAAGACATAAATATGGAGAGAGATTAACAGTTTTGGATCTGAAAGGACAAATACCATCCAGGGTACCTGATGTAGTCACTGAACTGAGTGAAATAGAGATACTTGTGCTGGATGAAAATGAACTGATTGAATTACCAGTAAGTATCCACAAGCTGAAAAATCTCATCCTGCTAAACTTGAAAAATAACAAACTCACTGAACTACCGGTGGAGATTGGTGACCTTAGGGAGCTGAGGGAGCTGAGTGTGAGTAACAACCAGTTGGTTGGTTTACCTACCAGTATACAGAGGCTGACCAAGCTTGAAAAGCTGGACTTGTATGGAAATAAACTAACTGAACTACCTGCTGAGATTAGTGGCCTCAGGGAACTGAGGGAGCTGTGGGTGAGTTACAACCAGTTGGTTGGTTTACCTACCAGTATACAGAGGCTGACCAAGCTTGAAAGGCTGTACTTGAATGGAAATAAACTAACTGAACTACCCGCTGAGATTAGTGACTTCAGGGAGCTGAGGGAGCTGAGTATGAGTAACAACCAGTTGGTTGGTTTACCTACCAGTATACAGAGGCTGACCAAGCTTGAAAGGCTGTACTTGAGTGGAAATAAACTAACTGAACTACCTGCTGAAATTAGTGACCTCAGGGAGCTGAGGGAGCTGAGTGTGATTCGTAATCCTTTAACTGTTGACGCAGTAAGACGTGCCTTAAAGTTAAGGAAGAAAGGAGTACTTGTACGTGGTGTTGTAGGTAAGCACTGCGGATATTGTAGTTATTTGGAAGTTCGAAAAAAAACGAGATAAAATTCCACTATTTTCCTGGGAAAGGGAAGTCAGGTTTCTTTCAGTTATCGGGGGTTTCGCGAATGCAGTGAGAGTTTGATAAATCAAGATATGTTCCGGAACCAGTCCAGACTACTTCCTCTGACTCCGCAGTGTTCTAGCTTGAAAAGCAAACATTCATGGTCGACCAAGTGGAAAGCTTTTTTCAAGTCAATAAACACAGCTCCTGCAATCATTTGCCTGCCCATATGTTCCAAAATATAATCAGTGAGGTAAACTACCGCAGTTTCAGTAGAGTGTTTCTTTCGAAAACCCGATTGGTAGTCTGACCCCTTGAATAAGTCATGTTCTGTCAAAAAAGCCAAGAATTGTACTTGAATAGCGCGTTCCATAATCTTTGACACCAGGGGAAGAACTGAGATTAGTCGGTAATTATTGACATCGTTCC